ATAATTTAATGTTGTTCTTCTAAAAATTAATTTAATTTAATATCATAATATTTATCATTAATCATTATAATTTAATTTTAAAATTTAACAAAAAAATAAATCAAGGTCTTACATCATCTAGAAAATAAATAAAAGATTTAAAAGTCTAAATACATGTTAGTTGATGCCATCATAATTCACAATAAAGTTTTAGAAGCAAATAAACGAGGCATATTAATATAATCCTCATAGAATAAGATGAGGGATCAAAATTTTTAAATCAAATTAAAATATCAAAAGCAAGCATTAAATTGAAATCTCAGATATTCATAGCCTAAAGAAAAGGTTTATATTGAAGCCAAAATAATATAATGCTGAGAGGGAGACATTGAGTCAAGAGACGCTGAGACAAGAGACGAGAGGAAGAGGCGAGTCGAGAGATGGAGAGAGCTAAAGGGAAAGCAGAGCTATGAGAGGGAGAGGTGAGACAACTAGAGGAAATGAGAGGGCGAGAAGGATAGATTGGGTTGAGAGATAAAGAGAGAGACAGAACTTGGAATAATGAAATGCTTAGGGTTTTTCTCATTTGCCAACGGTACGCTTCAATGTAAAAAGGGGAAAAATAGAACAAGGCTTAGAGGCCTGCCCAAGCTTGAGCTTTTTTTTCAATGCTTATTAAGGTCGAGTGTAGAACCCTGATTACCTTAAAAATCTCATACTTTTCAAGCCTAAACTCTTATTTAGATAGGGCTTTTAAGCTTGGCCTTATTCCCAACTTTACCTAAAGGGTAACCCATAGCTCGTCTCGCCCATTTAAATCAAACACAGGCTACCTCGTTATTTTAACCTGCTTGCTTTTTCTTTTCTGGGCCCATTTTAGCCTGCCTATTTAGATTGGGTATGGGTGAGCTTTATAGGTTGCAGGTTATTTGTTCACCCCTAAGTGCAACTCCTTTTATCTTTTAATAGATTTGGCATAGCACCCTTAGCGCATCACACATCCAACAGAGATTATAAGTTCTCTAGCAACTAGTAGAACATTAGCTTTTAACACAACAATAGTAAAAGTGTGCTAGCACTTTTTGTTTTAGCTTTTCATCTTTTATTTCATGTAATTTATTTTTTTATCATCATTAATATCATGGTCACTCTCACCGCACAAGTCTCACAAATTTCTCTATATTTATTTATCCATTCCCTTTACTTTTAAGCACTTGTATTTGAAAAAAATGTGGTGAAGGATCCCAAGAACTCATCATTTGATTTTAGAAGTCAGGAATCACGTCTTTTAAGAACACGCTCTTTTGACACGCTGGGGCAACCAAAAACAATGTAAACACAGTTTTAGAGTAATGTTTTTCAATAGTTTTTATAAAAAAAATTAATAATAATCTTATAAAAAATTAAATCTAAACTGTTGAAAAGTTTTAATCTAAAGGTGACGAGGAGAAAATGAGAAAAATGGAGAATAGAGGAAAAAGGAGACACTCATCTCCCCCTCTTTCTAATTTCTAGCCATTAAAATAATATTTGGATAATTTAAATCTGATCTCTTATAAAATATTTTATTTTAATTTGTTTTACTGTATTTTTATTTCTTCATATTAACTTTTAAAAATTTAAATTTTATTATTTATATTTTTTTATAATTTAAAATTTTAATAAATTTTTTATAAAAGATTAAATATGAGCTATCCAAATCTTGATCTAATAACTATAAAGAAAAAAGGAAATAGGATTCCCTTCTCATCCTCTTTCCATCCTCTTTTTTTTTTCCCTAACAATTAAGATTAATATTTTGAACGCTTTATATTTAATCTTTTATAGAATATTTCATTTTATTAGATTTTTTTGGATATTTTAATATATTCAAATTAATTTTTATCAGTTTGACTTTAATTATCTGTCTTCTCTCATAATTTAATATTTTAATAATAATTTGGTAAAGTATATTTTTAATCCTTTAATTGTATATAAAATTTTAATCTGATCCTTAATTTTATAAAGTATATTTTTAATCATTTAATTTTAACATTGTTAGTTTTAAATGACTATTTTTTGTGTCAATTATTATTATTTTAAATTATTTAAACTCTAATTTGCCAACATTTAAAAATATTTTGTCAATATTTAAAAGTTAAATGTAAAAATTTATTGAGATGAAACTAACAATGTTAAGATTTAAGGATTAAAAAGATATTTTATAAAATTAAAAAATAAAAATAAAATCTTGTATAAAATTAAAGGATTAAATGTATACTTTAGCCTAATAATTTTAAAATAAATTAAATCAAGCTTGTCTAAATCTTGATTTAATGATTAAAAAAATGAAAGGTGATCAAAAAGAAAGAGGAGAGAATTCCCAAAAAAAAAAGGATGAGAGTGTTCTATTTTTTCAAGACTTAATAAAATAAATATGTTTTCATACACATTATTTCAAGATTGAAACTTGGTCATTTCTTACATCCATCAACTCAAGTTTTCATAAGATTGAAAGGTCATTGCATGATCTTAATACACACACACATATATATATGGAGAATTACATATAAATCAAAATCTAATATAAAAAATTAATTATCTATAAATCCTTACCACATATAAATATTAAATAGTGAAGTTTGACTTGTAAATAAATTTAAAAAATAATTAATTTTTTTATTTGAGACTTTGTTATATCTATTTCACACACACACATACTTCATTCATTTAAAATGTAATACATTTTTAATTAAATCTTATCCCCAATAAAATAGTTAATTATCTTTAAGCTAACTTTTTTTTCATATTCACCTCTATTTAATAGGGTATCTCACTCTAAAATAAATATAAAGTAATTTATTTAATAGGGGTATTTGAAAAAGGGGTAATGATTATATTTTAAAAGAATAAAAATATTTTATATTTTTAAATGGAGAGAGTAACTGATAAGAAGTCCACATAAAAATTAAACAGAAGATGAAGGAGGCTATTAATAATCAGTAAATGATAAAATAACATTATCCACTACGAGTTACTCTATTTTTAATTTATTGATATATTGATTGATTTAAATAATTTGATCTACTCTGTAATAAAAATGAAAAATTACTTTGAACATATCTAAATTATTCAACTTAACATTCTCATGTAATTATCACGCAGTCCAGATTCTTAGTTTTTCATTAGGCCAGGTCTCTCCTCCATACCATCTTAAATGGATTCAGGAGTGTATTTTGTTTTTACTTTCTAAATTTACATCTGGAAACATTGTCTGACATCTTTAAGCGGGCGTGCATTCATATATAAAGGAAAGTGGTAGAAAAATTTCTTTCAAATATACAAATAATAAAATTTTTTAAGAAATGTCATAATTATTCTCAAATCTCTGTAAACTTTTTTAATATTAATAATTTTTTATAATTAAAATATCCTTAGTTTAAAATAAAAAAGGAATAGCCCTAGCTTTCAAAAAACTAAATATTAGTAACTACTTTAATTTAAATAATGACTATTTTCAATGACTAAAACAACAAAAGCAATTACAACTTTTCTTGTACAAATTACAAAAGCAATAACTATTTTTTTTCTGACAATGATTAAAGCAAAACAATCAATTATAACTTTTCCTATATAAATTTTTTATTCACTAAAGTTCAAATATTATAAATATCTATAACTCCTTTAATTTAAATAATGAATACTTTTTTTTTTGACAATGACTAAAACAAAACAAGCAATCACAACTTTTCTTGTGCAAAAATTTTGATTAACTAAAATTTAAGTATTGTAAATATTCATAATATTTTAATTTAAATAATAACCATGATATTTCAAGGGACCTCATTGTCATTTGTACATTTTATAAGGATTTTTCTGTCATTTACATATTGACGGTTATTTTATCCCAAAAAAAAACAAAGAGAAACATAATAAATATAGTTTATCAAAAACCTCATTTGAACAATAAATAAATAAAAAATTCTAATAAATGCTACTCTTTGTTCTAAATTATAAGATAATTCAAAATAAAATTTTGCAAATTAATAAAACTCAATGATGACACGTTACAAACTTACATTTTTAAAATAAAACTATAAACTTTTAAAAATACTTTTTACAAACTTAATCATTACACTACAATATCATTTTAATTTTATTTTCACTTGAAAAGTAATATTAGAAAAGTATCATTAATGAAATTTTAATTTTCTTAAATTATCTTATATTTTGGGACAATGTAATATCTCAAAAACTATCTTATAATGTAGGATGGATAGAATACTATTTACAAACCATTCAAACTTATTACTAAAATTTCTGTAAAATCTACGCTAGCCACTATTTAAATTGCATCAATCATATGTATATTTTTAAAAAAGTTAATCATTTGGTGATATATTTTTAAATTGATTGCATTAAATTTTAACTTGACTCAATTGTAATTTAATTTTTAAATTTTTTTTCTTAATGTAATACAGTCTTATAGTTTTAGCCATTTAAACATTATTTCCTGAGTTGATTGCCAAAAAAAAAAAAAACCTTTAGTTCCAAAGTTTTAATGACAACTATATTCTTTATAATTTTATTTTTTAAAATGTAAAAACCAACATTTTAAATAAATAAAATTATAGGCACCGAGATGGCCAAAAAAATTTAAGCATTGAGTTCTAATCAAAATAAAATTATAGGAATTAGGTTACACTTGTGTAGACCAAATGGTTATTAAAAAAAAATCAATAATAACAATTATTAGTTTATTACTCAATCTTCCATAAAACTCACAATAGTTGCTATTTAGAATTTTGGTCAAATTGCTTAAAAATTGATTAAATGAACCTAAGCCAATCATAACCGAGAGATCAAACCAATAGACCTGCACACGGCATATGTATTTGGAATTCCATAATCTCACTCTTGCTGTGTCTCATACAATAAAAATTGCATTTTAGACTATATCTACTACATAGAAGAAAAATCCATGAGTTCCGTGTGTTTAGTGTGCACATGCGTGTTACCAACTTATAAAACTACGCAAAGAATGCAAACAGGTGTTAATCATATATTGAAAAAAGCTATGACTATGACCATTTAAATATAAAGTCTTGAGTTTTAATATGCTCAAATCTAATATGATAATACTAGATATCGTACGGTTTACGTGTGTGTGTAAACTACACAAAGACAGCATAGGTCTACCCTTTAAACAAGTTTTCGAGGATTATTTTCTGCAACCAATTCCTGTTTCTTCCACAACCACGACTTACAAGGCATCCTTCAACGTGCACTCTCCACGATCGTATACAACACTTGGAAGCTGGAGCCTACTCATTGATTCAACAACCTCAATGATTATGACTTTTCGGCCTTACTTTTTACCTTTTGATCAAAGCTAGTCCAAGTATAATCCGAGGGAATAGCGAAAACGTCTTGAATTTCACTACTGGAATCAGCAGAAGAGGCCTTTCCCCAGTGAAACCAAGAAGAAGAATGGGGTTGTTCTGCAGGGTTCTCATCATCAGCAGAAGTTGGACTTGAAGGGGCAGATGAGAACTCTTCCAATGGCGGTAATTCCTCAAACTTCGTAAAGGAAATCAATACTCTAACAGTAGGAATCACAGGGATTCCAACCTGAATGTCAAAGGCAATGAAATAGATTTATGATCATACATTACATTCATCGGAAACAAAAGTGAGAAACAAAGTTGAGCAAAGATAATGTAACCGATGAACATGATTAAAATTGTAAAGACAAGAAATAAAGCATCAATGCTGGTCAAAAGAAAAGAAAAGAAAAGAAATAAAGCATCAATGGATGCTTCTTTTTTCTTGCATGGTACGTATTAATGCAGATAAGTACCGTATTCAAGCCATGAAATCAGTTATATGGTATCTATACAACTAGTGTTCTTTATTCATGAAGCAGCCCGTCTTTCCTAGAGTTTTAACGGCGTGCATATCTTACATGACCTACTGTTATTCATTGCTGTTTCCCGATCATTCAATCTCTAAAAGCGGAATGAATAAGCATAAGCAAAAGCAAGGTACAGCAAGGCCCTCTCAGCTTTCCTATATTATAAGATGTTAGTAAAGAAAGAAAACAAAATGATATTGACCTCTCAACAACATTCTCTTTCTAGAAAAAAAAATTGAGGCTGGAACTGAGAGAACAGGTAGGGAAGAGCATGCTCAGTTCAGAATCATGTTCGAAATTTTCCGATTGCCGGTTCCCCTTAACTGCCTCATCTACATCTCACTGAAATCACTAAATCAACTAGATTGGAGGATATATGAACAATGTATTTTGGACCATAAGAGAAGCAAAGCCCATATGGTCGCATTCCATCAGTACACTATCCGGTGAGTTAACTTGCTATCTGCTTTATTTTGCACCTTAAGGGAAGCAAAATCCGTACCTTTAAAGGTGGGCGAGAGTTTACAATTTACATGCTCTCTAGTTCATCAAAGCCGCCAGAGAGTAATTTGAACGGATAACAATTAAGGGACTATATAAGCACTAGTAATTCTGGCTTGAATATGGGTATCAAACCCACAGCTCACTTTTAAGGACTTCCCTTCCCTGCGCCGTTTTTCAGGGAAGAAAAAGAATATTTTTTTTCAGAGACATTTCCCCTTTCAAGGAAAACCACGATATCTTCCCATAATCCAACAACAACAAATGATGGATAATGTATTTTTTTATAAGGAAATAAAACTCGATTTGCAGCAAGACTCAAACGAATGATATGATTAAGGGAAAAAAACACACCTTCACAGGAAAGGTATCCTTTGGAAATTTTGTCGTAAGAAGTTCTCTTAAACGGCGAACTGTTTTAACTTTATCTGCAAGAATATTCAGCAATGGCAACAGCTCTTCAACTTTTAGAGGAAAATTTGGCGAAAGCCAAAGGCTAGGTCTCATTCCGCGTTTATACTCACTCTCACTACTTCCTTCCTTATCAAAATTGCTGCTACCAGAATCCACTGAAGGTGCTTTGACGTGTTTTCCCTTCTTGGTCCCCTTTTCTTTCCGTCCATGTTCTTTTTTGTCTCTCTCTTCTTCTTTTTTATGATCAAACCCATCTCCATTATTTGATTCCAAAGAATCCATGTTTTGGGCAAGTGCACATTCCAGTTGCTTTCTTTCTTCCTGTGTCAAAATTTCTTGAATATCTTCACTCTCACTTTTATTTTCAATGCTAGACACCCTATCATCTTTCTTAGCTCTAGGGCACTTCACAGATTTCACGCTTACATGCACATTGTGCATTTCATACACCTTAGCTTTCCATGGCCCCACCATTTCTTTTCTCTCTTTTCGTCTCCATGTTAATTGGGGAACCAGAAATGCTTGACTCATATCAATACCAACATTTACTATTGAATCCTGAGATTTTCTATTAAATTTTTGCCTTACCTGTCTATTAGTTGGTCGAGTCCCAGGAGATGAAGACGTAAAGACCTTCTTGTCCTTGTGTGAAATCATACAGAGTTTCCCGGGCACTTTCTTCCCATCTTCCAAGTCATCACCCAGGAAAAGGGCGCTTTGATCAGACCTCTTGATTTTTAAACCGTCAAAACCAGCCAAAGTCATGTCTGCCCTCATATTACCACCTCTTTTCCAAATTTTATAAGTATCTGAAGGGGCAATCCTTGAGATGAAAGGAATTACAGAACTCTCAAAATGAAACGTAATCTCCATATAGAAATCTCTCATCCTTTGCATGGCAGCTATATAACGAGGCAGCCTCCTATACCATTTTTCATCTAAATGATTCCAAGAATACCGAACCATAAGCAAGCCAACTTTCTCTTGGTTATTGAGGATAGCTTCTGAAAGAGCACTCAACCCTTGTTTGTTCTTCAAATTTTTATTTGCCCCAGCAACCAGAAGCATTTCAGTGGCCACTTCATCGCCAAGTTTAGCAGCCAAGTGAAGAGGAGTATCGCGATTTGGAACATCACGGTAATCAACTACGACAGAGATAGCCTCAGCCTTCTCTTCCTCAGCTATTGACTCTGCCTCGGTGTGAATCTCATACGGGTTTCCAAGTCGTGGGAGACCTGCTAGTATCTCTCTGAGACCGGCATAATCCTTCAACACTAAGGCCTTGTGCACGGGACTATGAGCATACTTCGAAACATCCATGCCCGCCATTTGTCCAGACTAGAAGACACCAACATTCGTCAATTAATAATCACAAGGCCAAATGCATTCGATCATCAATATCTAAGACTTACCAAGTGCCGTCGAATCAGGGGAAATCAACAAATGGAAATAGCCCTACTGGCAACCATGCTTTAAATAACGCAAATAATATAAATTATAATTGAGATTGACTCATTTCGAATCACAACCAATCCCTAAAGTAGACGGAGCTGGAACCATTTGAGGCAGACAGAAAAGAATTCTGGCTGGACTCTAAAAGAATAAAACAACGAAAGAGGTTAAGATACCCACCTTTCTTTTACCAATTATGTTTCTGCTTCCTCTGTGACCTTCCCAGAGTTTAAGATTGTAAATAAACTTCGGAACTCAGCGCCTTTATCCACTCTGTGCCTCGTCCAAAACAAAGAGTCTCCTGAAGCATGCGGTATGGTTCTTCCAAGAACATTCAGTGATGGGAAATTCATGGAAAAATAATGGAGAAAATTTTGAAATGCGGGATTTGGTGACGAAAATAGCAAAAATGAGGATTGTTCCGAGCAATCTTCTTGAATCGGCGAAGAGAAATCCGCAGTTTTCCCAAGTTAAGCCACAGAAATCAATGCACAACTTCCAAGGATTTCCAAATTTGTGTTGCCATGCATCAAAGAATAGGAGAAAGAATTCTAATGTCAAAAACCTTTCTCATTTTGTAGCTAGATCCCTGCGAATAGGTTTATGTTGCAGCGCACAAAAACGGTACTGCATCTTAACTGAAAGTCCATTTTCAACCACCCAATTGTTATGACCATGCTTGATTTAAACAAACTGAAACAGAAGAATGAAACCAGGGATGGACGATAGTATTCTATTTTAGTCTATTTAAGTCAATTTTAGTCAGATGACATGTAATCCTCAATTGTAATCAAACTAGCAATTAAGTCAATTTTAGTTGGAAAGAAAATGCAGTTTGTCCCCTCCTTTTATGTGGTGGTCAGATAATCGGGCTAGATTAACTTGGCATTAATGAACCTGGATGGCGGACAAATGGCGGCTACATTTAGAAGGGCAAAGAATGAGTAAAACTGTCTTGTCCCCTAAAACTTCAAACTACATGAAATTTATTTTGTAAATTGGCTACCAATTACAGCAAGATCACTCTCCAAGGGGCTTGTTTTGAATTAAAGCACCAAATCTATGTAATATATAAAAGGATAAATGGATAAAAATATTTATAAAGTGATCAGCCACAGACATATAATATTTTAAAGTAAGAAAAAGAATAAAAATACTTATAATGTTATATGAATGAATACAAAATTAATTAAACCGTTAACTTTAACCTAACACTATTAACTTTGATCATTAAATGCTAATTGTGCATGTCATGTGTCAGTTTTTGCTGACGTTAACTAATAAAAGGGTAAAAATACCCACGAAGTCGTTGGCTAGAAGAGAAAATACCCACAAAATTATAGGCCAAGAGCAAAAATACCCATAACGTTATTAAAGTTGGTGTAAAAGTGACCTATCTATTCAATCTCTTAAAAGTTGACCATTTAGCTAACATCTAAGTAGAAATTGACTATTTTTTCATTGATGTAGACAAAATATTTTTAGATAAATTTTTATGGATGTTAATCAATCACCGTATAAGTACATATAATGTTACTTTAATAGGTGTAATAATGATCAGTCCATTAAACTCAATGCCGCTTGGTTTCTTTTTATTGCTATGTATCTTGTCCCTTTCCTTTCTCTCTCTTCACTCATTTTTCTTGTTTGCAAAACCTAAAATTTAACATAATGAGATAGGTTGTATAAAATTAAAGATCGAAACTAAACATATTTAGCTTAAGAACATTGTCATATTAAGCAATTGCATTTATGATAAGTTCAAAATTTTCAAATGATTTTCGCCACTGTTGCAAAGAAACAAGTGACAAGCGACTTGGTTTGATATTCAATCAAAATGATATTTTCTCACACGATATTCATACAATGACCAATTAACCTCTAGAGAATTTTATATAGGAATAATTTTTATCTACATTAGTGAAAAAATAGTCAACTTTTGCTTAGATGTCAGCTAAATGGTCAATATATAAGGGATTAAATATATTGATTACTTTTGCACCAACTATGATAACGTTATGGATATTTTTGCTCCTGACCTATGACTTCATAGGTATTTTTGTCCCTTTATTAATTCACATAAGCAAAGACTGATATATGACATGCACAATCAATATTTAACGGTCAAAGTTAACAGCGTTAGGTCAAAGTTAACAGTCTGATTACTTTTACATCCATCCATGTAATATTATAAGTATTTTTATTCTTTTTCTCACCTTAAGATATTGGGTGCTCGTGGCTGATCACTTTATAAATATTTTTACTCTTTTACCCTATATAAAATTAGATAAGTTGACTTGATCATTAAGCTAATATAAATGAACTTATTTTATAGATTATCTTTGCATTGTCAATAATTGCAAGGTTTGATGGATATTTTGTATATAATTTTTTTAAAATAAAAACTATAAAACTTGGAAAAACATTTGTGTGATGTCCATAGCATAGAAGTTACAAATAGTGGAGAATGTTTAATTGTCACACTCACTACAAGAAATTCATATTACCTTTAAAAGAAAAGTTACGATAAGTTCAAATCATTCAGCAGCAAACCAAACAAATATTAGAACCATTCAACATTATTATATGTAACAGCAAGGGAAGATGGCCATCCTATTAGGTGTGCCTTGCGGACAGTAAGCCACATCTTATCATTTCATGAGCTCATATATGAATTTCAAAGAGTGCAAGCAAAAAGAGGGTGACAAGAGAATCTTATTTAAAAAAAAAAAAAACCAAGCATGTACGGAGATGCATGAAGAAGGAAAAATCCCTAAAATCAATTTATCATTTGCCCTTGTACCAAACAAAAAATTATCATTTGCCTAAAACCAATAATATAAGGGACCTAGTAGAGAGATCTTTATAGTAAGATCATTCCCCAAGGTGTTTGCTTTGATATAAATTTTCCAAACCCATGCAGTATATAAAATCAGAAAGACTGAAACAGTCAACTAATATAAAGGAGGTATTCTCATGTTGGGCTAAAAATATATAAGACTCAAAATAATGACTATATTCATAGCTGAAACCTTGAGTATTCTTATATATGATATAGCATCATTTAATGTAAAAATATAGGATTTAAAGAAAATATCTTCATATTTTAAAAAGTTAATATGCAATTTGGACTTCAAATTATAGGTCTAGAAGTAATTTAAATTTTAAACTCTTATTCAATATATTTTAAATCCTAAATAATTAAAATTTGTACAATTTTGTGTCATTGTTAAATTAGAGTGAACGTTTTTTTTTAACAATGGGGTTTGTTATTTTTTAAAAAATATATAAGACTCAAAATAATGATTATATTCATAGCTGAAACCTTGAGTATTCTTGCATATAATATAGCATCATCTAATGTAAAAATATAGGATTTAAAGAAAATATCTTTAAATTTTAAAAGGTTAATGTGCAATTTGAACTTTAAATTATAAGTTCAAAAATAATTTAAATCCCAAACTCTTATTTAATATATTTTAAACCTTAAACAATTAAAGTTTGTGCAATTTTACTCCCACCATTAAATTAAAACAAACATTTGTTATTTAAAAAAAACAATGATGTTTAATATGCGATTTTTATCAAATTCTAGTCTCTTTTTCTCTCCTACCCTCCTTTAAAGAAAATTCCATATTAGCCTCATTTTTTTAAAAAAATAATGGATGCTTGCTTTAATTTAACAATAGGAATGAAATAACATCAATTTTAATTATTTAATTTTCAAAATGTATTAAATAATAATTTAGGATTCAAATCATCCTTGAATTGATAGTTTAGCATCCAAATTATATATTAATCCTATTTTAAAATCATTATTACATGAAATATCCAAAAAGTGTAGATGGAATGTGGGAGATATAAAAGGATTAACAACTATAAAAAGATAAAGTATCTAATATTAAAAATAAATAAACAAAGAGAAAAAAAACGTTAGTAAATAGATAAGAAGGAACACACATAAATAAAAATAAAATGCTTGATGATATGAAGAATGATTGAAATTATACAACTATGTCATCTAACATAGCATGAAATATTATTTAAAAGAAAGGACAGATAACAAATAATAAGTTACATAGACAAAAATAGTAAAAATAGTTATATAGATTCAAACTTTGAATGTTGTCATGCTTAGAAGAGCCAAGAATTCAAAAATGTTATTTAAAACATTGATGGCAAGGTAAGCTTGTAAACCCTTTTGATGATTTATCAGCTTCATGTGTTCTACTCTTTTTTATATATCATAATTAAATGCAAGTATCTCTCTTTGCAGAGATTTGAACTTAAATTTGCTATATCATAAAAAATTAACTACTTCAATTACACTTAAACCCCGTTGGTAAAGTTATTCACACGTCACAAAATATCAAGCCGAGTTGCGCACAGCGCCCTCAAGGTCAAGTTAGAGAGACAACAGTTAACTCAAAAGGAAGTAATGCAGTAGATTTTAAGAACGAAGTTATTGCTCTGATAGTCAGACAAGGCAAAGTATTCTGATACAAAGAACCCAAAGCTGGCTTTCAGTTTATTTACATCAACAAATTTAAGTGAAAATATCAAAATAGTTTTTAAAAAGCACCCAATCACACTGACAAAAGTAGCCCAAAGCTACTGTGTTAATGGCTGTCACATGTTGAAAAGAAGAGTAAACAAATCTATGATTTAAACTTACAATGTTCAGCAAATGAAGCAAGAATCACAATATCTTTCCCTATGCCACAACCCCATTCCCCTCCCCAAAAATACAGGGGAAAATAATCCCAAATGGTTATCCATATTACACACTTCAATTGTTGAGCTTGGAAGAAACACTTTTTGCCGTTTGGAAGCATTTCCTCCAAAGTTTAGAGGTTACTCATGAAATCATTAGCTATGACTTCTTCCTTTCTTTGATTTATTCTTCTCCTGCATCCTCTTTCTCTTCGCTTCGGCAGTGATCCAGGTATAGTCTGAGGGAATTGCAAATGGGTCTTGAATATTTTCTATCCGGCTACTGCTCGAACTAGTTGCAGCCAATGAGCTGGGGCGATGGTAAGGAGCCTTTATCCACTGAAACCAAGATGAAGCTGAGAACTGTGTCACTGCAGGGCTCTCACGGCCTGTAGCAGAAGGACTTGACGGGGGTGTTGCAAATTCATCTAATGGCTGTAACTCTTCAAACTTGGTGAAAGTGACCAATACTCTGATAGTGGGAACCACAGGGATGGCAACCTGAATGTGCACGGGTGATGAATGAGTTGTGAGTTACTACAATATATACTTACAAATGAAAAGGAAAAAACAACAAAATTTGAAAACAAAAATTACAATACGATGGAAGTTTATAACTCAAGTCCAATAAACATGGTTGCTTAAAATCTCTTTTAAGTTACTCGCAAGAAAGAGGGAAGGCATTGTAGCTGTGGTTCTAGTGTGAACTGTGAAGTAGGTGGCAAGGATTACTGCAGTACAAGGACTTCAACATCTTGTTTGATCAAACAATAAAGAAAGTTGCTAAGATTGTATCTTGATTAATAATTAATAAACATATATCTATATATATTGTGTGTGTGTTTTAACCATACAAATGAATCAATCATCTCAATAACTATATTGATCAGATGAACCTGTACAAAAACCTACAGCCTGGCTAGCTCTAATAGGTTGAAGATGGCATAACATGAGGGTTCAGGCCACGAGTCAGAAGATCTGCAAAGTGTACGGAGATATGCAAGATTTATTAGTCAATAATACACTTAAGAACCGAAGCACAATCCTTGAGGCTGGGATCCCTATCAGTACTTGTACTTAAAATATTTACATTATTTTTTTTCAGAAGCAAAAGGGCTTGTACTCGATATAATTATCAACACTTAAAATCTAAATTATATATTGGCAAACACATCCATGCCTACTAAGAAAAGGAATGTTGTAGTCAGATGATTTATATTAACTCGATCAAAGCTTTTCAACAGGAAGATTTTGGTGGGTGAAATGATTTCTCTGATACCCAGGACTTGAGATAACAGGTTGAAAAATACACAGCCATCATTTACACCTTTACATCCACAATAACTAAGCTTCAGTTCAAGGCCAACAATCCAAATCAACCAAACCTAATAAACCAAATGAGAACTCAAGTTCCCAAACAGCAATTTGGATATTGGACTGAAAAGAAAAGGGAAGATGTTTGTTGCCATGGTGACTGGTAATGTCAATTTTGCGTTTCTATAGAAGACTTCAACAACACTTTTACAACTTGTTTTCTGATCATTGACATAGAACAAGCATAGGACTCTCAACTCTATAATGCACTAGTCAAGCCTTTGAAATCACGTCACACGTCAAACCAGACACTTAGCAGACAGCTAACCCAACATTCTATGAACTTGAACCAGAAAAAATTTTACTCTGCAAATCCTTGGGAGTTTAATAACTTCTCTCAAATGAAAAAGAAAATTTTAAAACATAAAATCAAATTAGATGTAGAAGATGGTAACAGCAGTAATTGTTATCACTCTCTAGCATAGTACAGTAACAGCTAGAGCTATTCGGTGCGTTTGACTCAAGATAACAGAGTCAATAGTTTCTCCTTTTTCTTTTTCTTTTTCTTTTTTGTAATGAAAGAAGCCTTCACAAAAAGAAGGAAAAGAAAGATACACAGGCAGATAATAAGGCGCCCTCCATGAGAGAAGTAACAGCAAAACAAAAAACTGACTCAGAGAAGTAACAAACCAGTGATGCTCTCCCATCTCTCAACACAGGAAACAAATTCCACAAAACTGCTTCTGGGGACCAAGCTCAGGAGGCCGGTAACAATTTGGGCAGATGCCCTAGGTTCAATTCAAAACAAAATCGCGTTGCACCAGTGAATCCACACAAAACCAGTGCCATCATGCAAGCACACTTCCACACAGTAACCTCACAAATCAGAAGCAACGCCTATTCTCAAATATTCGAGTGCCCAGATTTGAACACCAAGGACCATTAACCATTAACTTGTCATGGACGAACTGCTAACTTATTTATTTCTAAATGGCAGGTTCAAACTATTTATAAATGAAAATGATCGAGCAATGCTAACAAAATTTAAATTCATGCATCATCAGAGTAGACCTGGCAACGGTTATTATTTCTAGAAAAGCAGAGCAACCAAAAACTGTCAATTTATAATCGATTCCTATCTCACTCATAATGTTTAAGATGAGCCACAAGCAAATTTTTTCAGTATATACACATCAAATTCTAGAGATTTACTGTCTACAGAAGCTGAAAAAAGATATCACATGCCATATACTAAGACAATTATTTCCTGCCTCTCAACTTCCTTTTTTCTATATATTTTTATCATTTCTTCTATTTTTATGCATAATAGAAATATTTTCTATGTATTGTGCCCAGATATTATTTATAATGACAGGCCTAAATTGAAGGAGCTTACAAGCACATACCTTTACTGGAAAGGTTCCCATTGGAAGTTTTGTTGTGAGAAGTTCTCTTAAACGTCGAATTGCTTTAACTTTGTTTGCAACAATGTCAAGTAATGGCAGTAGCTCTTCAGTTTTGAGGGGAAAGTTTGGGGCAAGCCACAGAATAGGCCTCAATCCTTTCTTGTACTCACTTTCACGATTTGCATGACCCTTGCTATCAGAATTTGTAGAAGTAGCTCTGGCATCTTTCTTCTTCCGTTGCTCATCACCCCTTACAGCTATCTCAACAGAATGTCTTCCTGGCTTAATCTGATTCCTTGAAGGAGAATCTCCCAATAGATCACTCACCTTCTCATCTATACAGAGGGAACTTCTTGGCGGAGCAATCTTTTTTTGTGCATCATGTTTAGAATCCTTCTTTCTCCATCCACCAAACCATCCTTTCTTGTCCTGCTTATTTTCTCCATTTTTATAGTTGTTAGCATCTTCAATGGGAATATCCCTATGTTCATAACAACTGTGGCGATGACCAATGATCTCCTCACAGCTTTCATGGTTCATTTCTGCTGAATCCAACTGCAATGCATCTTCCAGTTGTCTTCTTTCATCCTCTGTCAAAATGTCACTAAGTTCTTCACTCTCTGTCTCATTTTCATTGCTAGATGTGAATAATTCATCATCCCTCATAGCACCAGGAACCTTTCTAGATTTAATGCTTACAACTACATTGTGCATATCATACACCTTGGCTTTCCAAGGACCGACCATTTCTGTTTTCTCCTGTCGCCTCCAAGTCAATTGGGGCAAAAGGACTGCTTGGGTAACATCAATCCCAGGCCTGAATATATTAGTTTGAGACATTGCAGCCACTTCTTGCTTAACTTCTTCGTCAGTTGCAGGAAAGCCAGCATCATCTAGAGCATTCATTACTTCCTTATCCTTGTGCGAGATCATGCAGAGTGACCCAGGAGGGACTTTCCCGTCCTCAGATCCATCGCCCAAGAATAAAATGCTCTGATCTGATCTCTGAATTCTAAAACCATCAAAACCAGCCAAAGTCATGTCTGCCCTCAGATTTGCTCCCCTTTTCCAAATCTTGTAAGTATCCGAAGGTGCAATCCTTGAGATGAAAGGAATCACAGAACTCTCAAAATGGAACGTTATCTCCATATAGAAGTCTCTCATTCTTCGCATGGTCCCCACTAAGCGAGGCAATCTTCTGCACCATTTTGCCCATGCCAAAGGCTGATAATGTCTGATTATCAGCCGGGCAATAACCTCTTCTCTGTTGCATATAGCTTCCTGAAGGGCACTCCATCCCTGTTCATTTTGCAAACTCCAATCTGCCCCAGCCACCATAAGCATCTCAGTGGCTACTTCATCACCAAGTTTTACAGCCAGGTGAAGAGGGGTATCACGATTTGGCACATCACGCCGATCAATTACAGCAGAAATGACATCAGCCTTCTCTTCCTCAGTTATTGAAGCTGCTTCAGTGCGAATGTTAGATGGATTACCAAGTTGTGGAAGACGCCCCAGTATTTTCTTGAGGCCAGCATAATCCTTCAAAATGATGGCCTTGTGCACAGGACTATGAGCATACCTTGTAACATCTATACCGGCCATACCTCAATAGTAAAAGGAACCAACCAGCACTAACAATTACAAGCTTGTGCTCATACCATCAATTGTAACTTGTTTGAACATCAAGACTGTCAGAGTATTGAAATTTTGCAACACAAAGTTGCATAATTAAAACATCAAATACTAAGAACAGGCAAATCGGAGTCTTGGATTCAACAAATGAAACAGACTTTGTTGACAAATTGTCCTTTCAAGTTTCAAGCCCTATCAACCACAAATAAAAACACCCAATTCGAATCAGAATCAAAGAGAAAATTGACACCTATAAGGAAAGTATCGCGCGTGGCTTCAGATCAGGCAATCAAAGAAGTAAAGATGCTTACCTTCTTCCTCTCTGCTGTTTTACTTCTTCTATGAGTCCCGAGGACTAGAAGATTGAAACCGAAGAGAACCGAGTACTCAACCGCCCCAGCTTGTCCTCTCCGCAAGTAGAAAAAAAAAGGGAAACAGCAAAGATCCTTGTGATCCAATCCAGATCAGACAAACATAAGAACATGCATGTGGTTGTATGCAGCAAAATTCTAATATAAAAAACTATAAAAGGTTTTAAAAAGCGAAGAAGAAGGCAAAAGGGAATTCGCTAAAGGATGAGAAAAGGCTACAGAATGAAGGAAGGAATACAAGGGAGCAATGAAACCCCGCCATTCAAGCAAAGAAAGGAACTTGTTTATATTATAAAGGCATAGCTGAAAAGAGAACCAAAACTCAGAGACAGATAAAAGATGATTGGAAGTAAAATAAAATAATACTTTAATCCGTTAAGGAAGTGCATGTAAGACATAAAGAAAAGGGCAAGATGAAATTTCCCCCATCTCAGGTTAGAAGAAGAAAATTAATTAGGATAGAGCAGTAAAAGAGGGACCTCAAATGGGGGGCTCCAAAGCACTTTGTTGAAGCTCAGTGGAACCATGCGCTTTTGAAAACACGGGGAAAGTGAAAGTCAAGGGTCAGAGAAAGAGAAAGGGAAAGAGATGGAGCCAGAGGGTCCATAACAATGGGAAGGCAACATGTGAGGCCCGATGGATGGAACCTGCCTTCCTATTTCCTTTTCAGGGTCACAGCGTCGATCAAATTTGATTAATTCACGATTTGACTCAATCCATGGGGTTGAATGAGCAATCATTTCATCTCTTTTATTTTTGGGGGGTAAAAAGAGCAATCATTCATCATTCAATTTTTAAAAAGATCGCTGGTCCAAAAAAAACATATTAAAAGATGCATACACACACCCATCTCTCCCTTTCGGGTGTTTCATTGTTTATGGGCCCCAACAGTGCCTTTTTATCGAATATGCTTCGCTGTAATGTCAGTCAAATGGTCCATAGAAAACAGAACGTGTCTCGGGTAATTTAAGAAGAAAAGTTATCCCCGGGATGATGATTGCCACCTCACCGTCAGCATTCAACACGACAACACCTGTTGTTCTTGCCAAAGCTAACGCAAAACGTTACGGTGATGTTCCCTTACTAGAATATAATAAAATAAAATAAATTAAAAAAATTAAAATAAAAATAAATTTAATTATCTTTTCTCTTATAATAAATATGATAAAAATTATTAATACATATTATAAATATAAGAATCATTACACCCTTTAAAAATTTTATGAATTATAATTCTCAACTTTATAAATTAAATTACTCTGTCTTTTTATAAATGCACTCACTTATCTCATGTGATTATTTTATTTTTATTTTTTTAATTCATTCTATTTTATTTTATTTTAATAAGCAAACGAAATCTATCTATATATATATATATATATTATAAATACAGGTATATGTGTGCATGAATCATAAGCTGTTTTTTCAACTGTGCTGTTATTAATTGATTCCATTTTTGCTCCCTTGTCTGCCGCTTACTCTTCTTAAAATTTGACCTGCTGGAACTCAAATTTACTTTCATTATTAAAAAGAGGGATTAAATTACAATAAGCCTATATTCGTCGTTGTACAGTATTATTTTATTGATTAAAGCTTCCACAACTATAGACTACAAGTAGATAGATATAGAAGGAAAAAATATAAAAGGATTTGAGAAGAAATAGATATGAAAGGAAAGTGTGTTTTTTTTCATACAGATATATACAAAGGGCCGGTAAACTCCCAGGGAATTAGATTTATAATTTCAAATTAAAATGTTTTGCTGGAAATAAATGTGTCAAGATAGGGATGATCATACTGAGTAGTCTTAACTCTCAATTGTCTACGAATTCGAAAACGACATATGCGGGATGCAGCCATCCAAAAAGTGACGTGGTCTATGTTCTGACCATGCACGAGGGACCGAAATCAGCAGAAAAATAATCATTAGCATATCAAGAATCAAGAAATTTAAGAAATTTATTACGAGTCGTATTTACATACACTATAAACCAAATTAGCAGAACAATAATCATCGTTATCATTAATATACATAAAAAAAATTATAACGAGTCTTATTTATTTAATATGCATAACACACAATTTTTAACTAATTATATCTCATTCATAAATAATACTATTCATTTCTCAAATTTACATGTTGCAAAATGAAAGGACACCATGCATGAAGATTTATATTGGCAAAAAAAAAAAAGAAATCATAAAAGTTTACAACGCAAGCCTTTAATATTTATGAAGAACTTTAAATAACTGAAAAATTTATTTTTAACATGTCAGTGCTTGGTTGGATTGGATCAAAATCGAAGTTCTTCAGAACTGAGGATAGGTGTGCGATTAAACAAAATGACGATCAAATTTACTATTAAATGGCGATTTTATGCATTTTTATACTCTTATTAGTTATTGTCAGTGCAGGGAAGAATTTTAACATAGCCGCGAAGTTCAGTTATCACTCCTTGCCTAATCTCGATCGAACATATTTCCTCAACCCCACCGGCAACATGCACTTTTGCCCACTCCGTGTCCTGCGCATGCCGTCTTCGCCATAGCTCGATCTCAATTCTTCCTTCAACTTGATCCGCCAAAATAATCTGTTTCAGGCGCCAAATTGTTTCATCCTCTCTGAATAAGCTGCCAATTTTTCCTTCTGCCAAGGATGAACAGGTATGAGATTCACCTCATGAGGATTAAGCCAAGTTCGAGTCTTGTCGTTTTGCAGCAAATTTTAATTTAGTCGTCCCTTTATTGGTGGTTTTACGGGTAGGGCATTTTTTAGCTTCTAATTGGCAAATGGCACCTACAATTTTATAAGCGACGGGGCTTTCTTTCTCAAATTGCATTGCCTATGCTTTGTTGGATGTAACAGAGATATTTCTCTAACAGGATGCTTGCGAGGAAGCTTGTTACGAGTATCTCTAGGATGAATGTGCCCAAAAAGTCCTTCTGTACAGAGGTGGCTGAAGTTGCTGGTTCTTTGAGTGGAAAACATTCCAATGTAAGGAAATAACTATCCCTGACATCACTGCTTCTTGCATTCTTTGATTTTTTATTTTTTTGGTATTATTTGATTGCGCAATGTAGTCTAGAATTATTTGTTTTAATTGCATTTCACTAGCTTAAACTTACAAAACGGCTTCATTTAGACGTGATAAAAAAAAAAAATTGATAGTTCGATAAATCGACTTGGGAATCATATTTTTTTCTATATCATCTTGAGGGGAAAAAACTTGGCCTCGTGGGATTAATTTCTGTGACTTCACTTTGTAAAAAATCTTTGTACTCCCTATATGGATCATCTGTTTGAGAAAAAATGAATATCATCATCGTATTGACAATTCAATATGCCTCAGTAAAAATTGATTTCCAGCAGAGTGAGGACTACTGCATTTAATAATTCAATGATCTGGAGCCTTATCTCATATAATACTTATAGGTAATAAATGGCAAAAGTGAGTTAGTCTAGATAATAGGTATAAAGTAGTCTCTTTTTTTGGTTGAGATATATAAAGTAGTCTCTTGACAGGTGCATAGAATGGAATGCTGAAAAATGGTTTTGCATGGAAGTTGTAATTTCATTTAATTATGGTGGTTAGTCCTTCTTCATTGGGGCTCAATTTAATGAATTCTAACATTGTTTACTATTTTGAGTTTTTCTTTTCTTGTTTTTTCTTTTTTCCCCTGTTCATAATTGTCTCTTAATTATGGAGGGTGGAATGAAAGGCTTATGCGTGGAGAATTGAAAGATCACCTATCCAGAGTTGAAAGATCACTTCTCCTCTTCGTATACAACATAATTGGTGTCAAAATTACAGCTTGTGATGATATAAATTCTTTATTCACTATTTTAAGAGTCAGTTTTCTTATCTGCCTTCCTCGTTCTGTTCACTGTTGTAAAATGTCATGTATTGTAGTATATTTATAGCTCTTGGCTATTACTATCTCTCTGTTGCAGTTTATTTTTATAGACTTTTTCATTTTCATAATTTCTCTCATTTTAATAGAACAATGAATGGAAATAGCACTTTTTTCAAAAATTTGTAGGAGCATGAGAAGAAGCTGACTATCAGCAATAATTTTCAAGAGTATGATATTGCTATTGTTGGAGGAGGCATGGTTGGATTGGCTCTAGCTTGTTTCTTGGGTAGGTAAAATTTATGTGGATCTTTGCATGCATTTTTTGTATTGTCATATCTTTCTTTGACAGACATAAAGTTTATGCTTATTATTGGCTAGTAAAAGAATGATTGCACTTAGCAAAATTTTGGCAAATATGTTTAGCTGTTCAAATGAAGGCAGACATTTACCTGGTTGCTGATGCTGTGAAAGATAATTACTTCTTATCTGGCACAAAACCATTAAAATTTCAGACTTGGGCCAATTACTGTCATTTTTTTTTTTTAGCAAGCCTGCCAATGACAAAGCAGCTGAATGTTGCTATTATTGATAGCAATCCTGCACTGGCGAGTAACTTGTTCATCAAGAAGGATGATCCACCTGATCCAAGAGTTAGCACTGTAACTCCTGCAACTATATCCTTTCTCCGAGGTATCTAGCCATATTGAATTTGCAGTAGTTGTGGTAATGATTTTCAATCTTTGCATTTCATGGGATGCATTCATGAGTTCAGCTTCCTGCTCATGATTCTATCGCCTGGTATTTTTGGAATGCGTGCTGATAGTACACAAGTATAGTTATTTGTTGTATCACCATTTTTGTCATCTGCCACTTGTTGATCATGCTTTGGATAAATGCATGACATTTTTTTGAGGCATCATGTGTAAGAAAAATAGATCCACTTTTGCAGCTATCAGTAATTATTTTTAAGTAAGATTAGTTTCTTTCTCATGAGATCTTAAATGCAAGAGATTTGAGGACTGGCCTAGCCTGCAGAACTGGGTTTATTTGAGCAGTTCACTGTTGAATTGGCTGGTTGGCATTGACTTTGACTGGTTCTCTTGCATCTAAATTAAACCATATCAAAGAATGCATGTTTTTTACTGTTTTCAACGCAATGGTAAAAATCTCTTGCTTTAAATGGGGTTGGAGCATTAAAATTTCTAGGATTCATGCTTGTATATGAAGGACGAAAACTTGAGCTTTGCTTAGTGACCCTTGATAATTTGTCTATTTCCAGATGCTGGTGCCTGGCAATATGTTGAGCAAAGCAGACATGCTAGTTTTGATAGAATGCAGGTATTTGTTTTCTGTGTCTTTACCAGAGTTACCTTTGTTATCTATATTATTGTATCATGGTCATGAGCTGATCAATGCTGGATATTGAATAAATTTTTATCATGCCTACAAACTATTAACTCATAACCATCAATATCAATACATCTATAAAAGTTATAAGCTATGAACAACGCAGCTTATCTTAGGTTCCGTGCTAATGTACAGGAGCCGCTGTAGTTTTAACTATTTGGAATCAAATAGTATCATCTCAACTGGTATATATATAAGCAAACTAGCATATACGTCAATGCAATATATTATTGTGACTGACTTTATTCTCGTTACATAAACTAAAATCAGATAAATAAATTTATGTTATTATTTTTATTAATTATATATCATAGAAGGTTCACTATCTATTTTTGTTGTGAGAATGATCATATATCATTAATTTTTATTTATTTAGTTAGTATTTTTCTGCCCTGTTGTGACAGGGTGCGGTTGCCATTGATTAATGATTAGGGAAAAGGAATAGTGTTCCAAGCTAGTTTTCATCATTAGATGAATGATTGATATCCACTGAATAATAATTGATATTGCTGAATAATTGACCAAGATGCTTCGCTTCATTTTTATAAATATAGAAAATGGCATAGTGATTTTCACTTTACTGACTATGTACAAGCATAAGCACACCATCCATTTAAAGAGAAACAGGATTTGTGTCCTAGGACCCAGTGGTACTGCTTATGGTAGAATTGCATTATCTTTGCTCCCTCCTATTGGAGGCAATCCTGTTGAGGTATGGTCAAGCACTAAATGTGGGTATCTGTTCCAGCGAGGATTCAAACCTTGGTTTGTCACTCCCAACCCCTGTTGGTTCACGTTATCTTTTACTAAGTGATATTCTTACTCATTATGATGCATATATATTACCTGGAGATATGGAATGCAACCTAAATTTTGTGGATGAAGGTTTTTCTCTTTCATTTTGCATTATGTTTTTTTATAAAATAATCTTCTTCCGGAATAAGTTTAAATTTGATGCATTCTTCTGTCTCTTTGCAGGTCTGGGATTATACTGGCTTAGGATATACTAGATACGATGCAAGAGATGTAAACAAAGAAGTCCTAGGGTAGGGGTAGATGTGTGTAAAAGTAAACATTCTCCATACATTATCTATTACTAAACGCGAAAATTCTTTGGTCAGGTGTGTGGTGGAGAATAAAGTGCTTCATAATGCCTTATTATTATGCATAGAGGTATAGAGCTGCACAATTATGGTTGTTATATGTTGTATACTGCTAGGGTAATGTTCCTAATCAGAGGTTCTTTATGTTACCGATTGTGCACATTTGCACAATCAATGTATATGCATTAATTGATACAGACAAATTGGTGCTAAAAGCGTTAAAAGTAGAGAAGTGTCATTTCATTCATGAGATTTATGTTAAAAAGGGCTGCATTATCATCTATAGGTTATGATATTTTCAACCAGTAATTGGAGTTTAGTAGAGATTCTAATTTTATATGTTGTCTCTATTTATTTGTGTAAATATTGTACTGAATTGCTGAGTTTGGATGGTAAACTAGCTAGCACCTGAAGTGAAGAAGTGTTGCGTCCTGGTGTGTTTGGAATTTTTATGTTTGCTGCTTCTGTATAGTTTACATAGATGCTTGGGATGTTAGGATTCGAGTCACCAAGTCTACCTATCTTTTAGCTTCTGCTTTGATTTCCATCAGGAATTTTTAGTGTTACATTATTAAATATGAATGAAATTGTTTTTAAAAAAAAATTCATAGATGAAAATTTTCACTATTTGGTTTGATAGTACATTCAACTAAGAACAGCGAACTCCTTGACAGGCTGCTGATTTTCAGAAAACAATCTATCCATTGAGCTTAACTTCAATGACATTGCAACCAGGCTCGACATCTACAGTGGTTGAGAATACATCATCAAGAGCGTCATCTTCAGCTCGAAGGAATCTAGCAAAGCTAGAACTTAGTGATGGCAGTAGCATATATGCAAATTTGGTGGTAATTTGAACTTCCATATGAATGTGTTATACGCCGATACAACCGGTTGCACAATGATGCTAATTTTTGTACTGGATATCATCAACTGTCTGAGTTTGCTGTGTCATATAAATCATTTGGCGTCTGATCACTTAGATGATAATGTTGCAGGTTGGGGCTGATGGAGGTAAATCACGTGTTAGGGAATTAGCAGGATTCAAAACAACCGAATGGAACTACTCACAAAATGCAATCATCTGTACAGTGGAGCATTCCATTGAAAACCATTGTGCATGGCAACGATTTCTACCTTCTGGTCCAATTGCACTTTTGCCTATTGGTGACCAGTTTAGCAATATTGTTTGGACCATGAGCCCATCAGAGTCAGACCACCGTAAATCAATGAATGGTGATGATTTTGTGAAGGATGTCAATTGTGCTTTGGATTATGGCTATGGTCCTCATCCTAACTCTAGCTTAATGGAAACCGGTAACTTTTTCTCTTGGCTTAAAATGGATTCAACATCCTCAGCCAATCAGCTTTTCGAAATTCCTCCTAAAGTAGTGAAATTAGCATCTCAAAGAATGGTATTTCCTTTGTCCTTACGGCATGCAAACACCTATGCATCGAAGCTTGTGGTACTAATTGGAGACGCAGCTCACACTGTCCATCCTCTTGCTGGTCAAGGAGTTAATTTAGGTTTTGGAGATGCATTCACTCTTTCGAAAATTATTGCAGAAGGCATTGCTTTGGGCAATGACATTGGCGAGGTTGGTTATGTTTCTGATTTCGCTCTGATGATATATAAACTTATATCCGTTTTATGAATTAGTAGAATTTACTAGAGCGCTCGTCACTAGTCTAAATATTATAGTTATCTGTCAGGGAACTAGTTTTTCTTTATCAACCTAGATCAAACACACACTCACCAGTTTCCTTTGAATTTGTGGTGCTACTTACCCGAACCTGATCCATACCCTCAGACCTGGGATGTATCATTTGATCAGTCTTTATGACAATGCTAAAACTGGAAGGAGGGACCAATTGTAGTATCATCTGTGGTAGAATGAACCTGAGATGGGATGAGCAACTAATTCGAAGCCTCCCTTAGGCCTCAAATTTCATCTTTTCTAGAGCCTCTTGAAGAGTTGTAGGGAGTATTTTGTTTTAGATGTTGTAGAGCATCCTAGCACTCAAATGTGTTTGGCGTTCAATCTCGTCATTGTGTGCATACCTTATTGCTTCTCTTTGGTATTATCTTTTCCATCAAGAAAATTTTGATTTAGGTGTACATTTGATCAAAAAAATGTTCCTTGGTTGCAAGTCAAATATAGGAAAATGTATCAGATTCATCGACAAAAGTAGGCTCCATCTGGTCCTGGTTCCCTGCTCTGAAATATCGGCCACCCATTGATCGTATACCTAATACCCCACACTATCCGTTTCTTCAGGCAAGGTGACCAATCTTGATGGTATTATCATCTATTCACGTGGTGATATAGGCAATTTACTTCAAGAAATGGTGTGACCGAAGAAGTTGCTTTTCTTTGCACTGATAATTAGATCTATTTGCTGAATAATATTGATTTTTATGACAGATATGTTTAGAATCGAATGTTGGATTTACTATAACCTGTATGTGCATCATTAAGGTAATAGGGGGTGGTTCTACAGGTACATTTATTGAAGAGGTACGAAACAGAGAGGAAACCAGCAAATATTATGATGATGGCGATCCTTGAGAGCTGTCAAAAAGCTTACTCATTTGATTTTGGACCTTTGAATGTATTGCGAGCAGCAGCTTTTTGGGGGGCGAACTATATATCGCCACTCAAAAGAAGTATCATTTCGTATGCTTCAGGAGAACAGAAATTGCCCCTTTTCACTTGAGAAATGAACAGCCCGTTAAAATTATGCTTTTGGGCTGTTCGCACGATGATTAATTTTGCCATCCAACAATATTCACAAGCCCTAGTCCTTGAGACATTAGTGCTTTTATTTCGTTATTAGTGTTACACATCGTACGTTATCTGGATTCAGTTTCAATTTTCATTTAAAAAACGTTTTGTAAATTGATAATGCTATAATGTCCAAAATATTTGAAAATGTAAACATCTGTTTTTGGTGATAACTGAAATTATGTTGAATAGGTACAGATGATGAATTTCCAACTCAGGATTTTGCTACTCAAATCTCGTCTAGAAACTTGAGCCTTGAACTTTATCAAGGTCTTGCTAGAAAAGATTGAAATGAAATTGATTAAAAAAAATAAAAGTAAAAATAAAATATTTACAAAGAATAGGTAAATTACATTTAAAGAGAGGAATAATTTATAAAATTTTTAAGAAGTGATAATTTTTACATTTATCATATATATTAATGAATTTTTTCATTCTTACCATGAGAGAGGGTGATTTAATTTATTTTTATTTTATTTTTTAATTTAATTCATTTCATTCATTTTTAATAACCTAAAACAATCAAATCATAAACATACACACCAATGGCAAAGAAAAAATCCATAAATAGTTCTCATTCATTTTATATAAAGCCAAAAACTTGCGTATCGATGCTTTTTATCCACAAAATTTTCAAGAATGTAACGTGTCGCTTATCTCATATGGTTAAATGTGCATTCCGTTCAATATACACAATTGGGGGGCCTTGAGGAGTCGGGTGGCGAAAAAATCACAAAAATGTATCGCGTATTAATCGGGCTAATACCCGAGAAGATAATCTGTTGACAACTTCGGGAAGAATTTTGACAGATATTCCCGGCAGCACTGGTACGAGTTCTTGAATAATCTGAACAACATTCTGAGCCAATTGCCACCGACAAAGAAAGATCAGATAAAATGAATATGCAAATAATCTTGTAACCGAAATCAAATAATATATACATAATCCAATGAGGTAGACATCTAAGAAACATAGACTAAACAAGGTCCATAAAAAAGTATATTAGCACTAGATTCTTCATTACCTGATTGGAGCTGCTTGATAAAGAACTCCCTGCGGTCAAGAATTCCACTATTTTCTGGACATTATTCAGAATGATTTCATCCTCTTCGGTTATGGTAGGAATTAGAGCCGAAGGCTTGAACGGCCCAACGGTAGGTACCATACTAAAAACCGGGGTAGCATTCTGAATTCCTAATATTGACATTATTCTTACAAGTTGTTCCCTTGTAAGAGCATCGATGCCCTTGACAACCTGCTTTCCACAGGCAATAATGTGATGGTCAAAAAGGGTGAGTAAAATATATGATAACCAAACGTTGTTAAAAAATAAGGAAAATAGAAGGGATTGGAGTGTTTATCATACGAAGTTAAATTAAAACACTATCAGAGACTATGAAACAAATAATTTGCGACTGCTTATGATAAAGGGGATCCAGGACTAGGAGATCCAAGATAGATGTTAAGGGCTTTTTCTTTTTTTCTTTTTCTTTTGACCACAGAAGTTAAGGGCTATGTTTAAATCTAACATTGGAGCCTACACAACTATCTTATACTGACGTTAAAAGCAAGCTCCCACGTGAGCTCATTCACATGTTCTCCGGTCACCAAGCATAGAACTAGACCAATTTAAAGAACTAGACCAACTTAATTTCTTTAAAAAGTGTCACTGATTCCCAGTATTTATATCTGCCCACAGGATTAGGCAAACAAATAAGAAAATTTATATTAACGAAAAAAGAGGCTATTCTTCATTTATTCATTCATTTTTGGCCAAAAGAAGATATTCTTCATGCATCATGAGATCTACAGCGCGCACTTATTAACCAAATATATATTATAAAAGATATATGCTTCAGCACTTCCATACTAACCTCATCTAGAAGAAATTCTCGGAAAAAATTGCCCTTATCAGAGAGCAAAAATGCTAAAGCTGCCCTTGTTTGCACTGGCTGCTGTGACTGGGGTACAACAGACTGGAATCCAGGCAAGAGATACTGTGTCTGACTAGGAAGAATTCCAAGCTCAGCCATATTTCCGTTCAGATTCTCTCCACCTCCACTTTTTGCTGCAGTAATGAAGTTCTCAAAGGCTTGCATGACATCAATGAATCTTTCAGCATCAAAAACTCCAGATTTCCCATATATAGTGTACCGTAGAGCATTCCTCAGCCGAGGGGATTCATCCGTGAGGAGCCTCTATCAGTGAACATAATGAAAACCAAACTTAGATTACCCAGAAAAATCTAAATAGCATACATAAACACTAGCCAGTTACAATGTGATGATCTAGAATAAACTTTGGTTTCCGCACATTTTTCAAGTACTGTAGACTGTTCTCTGAGTCCCCAAAACAATAACCAATGCATAAGCCCACATATAAAGGATACAAGCCAGATAGCTTTAGAACGCCTAAAACAAAAGAAAACCATAGAACATTATACCTGAGCAATATATGGATAGGCCTCGTCAACAATGGCAAAGTCAGGATTCCCAACCAGAGCTATCCCTTCCAGAACCCCAATGGCCCTAATTATAAGAGCAAAGTATGGGGGTATCCTGAAAGGATAATCAAATGTAATTTGCGCCAAATCTGCTGCCAATTCCTGGAAGTTGATATTTTTTGCTCCTCCACCTTCAAGTGCCTGATCAAAAACTTTAGCCAGAACTGGCAAGATAGGCTCCAAATTGACGCCATCAGGAATGAAACCAAGTTTAACAAAGTCTTTAACAATGGCTGGGTAGTCCCGATGGATGAGGTGAGCAATTGCTTCAATCATTCCATACTTTTGATCATCAGTCAATTTCGTCACAAGCCCTGGTAGCAGCAAAAGACTTACAAAATCAGTCTAAATTATTAGGAAATAAAATAAAATTTTGAGTATTTAAAGCAGCGTAACAAGAAGGGACTAACAAAATAGTTTATTGCGGACATAATGTGCATTAAAATAAGATTAATTTACTAACACGTATGCAAAAAGGAAAGAAAACTAATCTAACAGCTTTTAGATAGGCAACAAGTGGTACGCAAAAAACCAAAACAATATTTCATTCCATGCATACTTGTACAGTTACTAGTAGCGTTGCAAGTTCAAATCCCAGTGACAAAATATTCTGCCTGTTAACTTCACAATCCTCATGGACAATGCTTGAAAAAACCATCTGCCTTGTGCAAGAGAAACTGCCTTCAGATGTAGTGGATAATTTCAACATAGGAAGAAAAATGGTAATATGATTGATAAAAGTAAAAGAAAATATCAACAGGAAGCTATAAGGTAACCTTATACATTAACCTATGAAGAAAAGGAGGATACATTCCCTAAAGTATTTTCTTAAACTCACAGTCAGACGCATCATAGGAAACCAAATCCTAAAAAGAAATGCAATGGGTATAAATAATACTACACATGATGCAGAAAGATAAACAATACAATATTCCACCAGATGCTGACAATATTAAGTTTACCAAAATCAAGTATGGCAAGTTTCCCATCAGGAGTACGGATCAAGTTCCCTGGATGTGGATCAGCATGAAAAAATCCAGTGTCGAGTAGCTGATAAAATAAAATAAATTAAAATAAATTAATACAACAATAACTAGGACAGAAAAATGGCAGCCTTCAAAATCTAGAGCCATCTAAAAGCTTTCAGAACAAAGCATAAAAGATTACTTGTTTCAGGTAGCAGATAACTCCAACATTAACGAGTTCTCCAACATCACTTTCTCTGCTCTGTGATAGCTTCTCTCCCTCAATCCATTCTGTGGTCAGAACCCTCCTTGATGTGTATTTGTCATATGTTTTTGGTATGACAACCTATATCTCAAACTGTCAGAAGAAGGATGCAAATTCTCCAGGACCTAGTGACTGTTGTTATAATATTTGTTGTTGACTGTGGTAAAACTAACCATACTTTATGCATAATATAATGGCAACAAAAAGAAAATCTAGATTAGAAGTGATCAGGCTCACCTGAGGTAGGTCTTTCTTCATCATTTCAGCAAAAAGGTTTCCATTTTCACCTTCATTAACATAGTCCAACTCCTCGAAGAAGCGAGCAGCCCACTCATCAACCAAGCCAACCACATCTACAGAGACCTGAAAATATATAGATAGAAAGCAACTGAGTTGAGAGGAAGACATTGACAATTAGTGATTAATTTTTTTGTCGACAACCAGTGTTGTCACTTTAAGAAATCAAGATCAAGATTTAATTTAATAGAAAGATAAGGTGTCAACTTATCTTTACAAGAATTTAACTAACCTGAGGAAACCTCCGGAGAACCAAACCCAGGTTCCTAATAACATACAAATCAATTGTAACAGTTTCAAGAACAAAAGGCCTCTGAACCTTAACAGCTACCAAATCTCCATTTTCCTTTAGACGGCCCTTATATACTTGTCCAAGAGACGCTGTATACATTTTCGTAAAAATTAATACGTGCATATTGATTGACTTAATTAACCTTGCAAAGAGAGGCTATACTTTTCTACTAAGAATCTATTATATCTAACTGGTTGTCTCGAGAGCTACCAGCGGCTATGGGAGAAGAGGAAAGTTCAGAATAGATATTCTGCCAGGGCTGACCAAGCTCCTCTTGAATTAAAGCCATTGCTATATCATCTGGAAATGAAGGAACCTTTAAAAGAAGAAGAATATCATCAGAAGCAATTCCCAAAATATGGGACACTATACTATAATCAGTTGACTCGAAAATTCTTGTAGTGGCAAGAGATCTTGGTTCTAACTGAATAAGATTACGCAGATTTTTAGATTTGCTGGAGAAATTGGGACCTTAAACCAAAGAGTTTCATCTTTCTGAATCTAAGCCCTAACTTATGATTCTGAAGTGGCTTTGACTAAAGAATACACTGCACTTGACTAATAAAATTTCTTACTTTTTTTGAGTATATCATTTTTGTCCCCATGCTGAGTACGAAGAAAGTGTGCATCAAATTCAAAGGGAACAAGACCATAAGCAGGGGAGGGAAGGAGGGAGAACGAGGCATGGAAGGAGCACTAGGGTTACCTTATCACAAAGCTTTTGCAGCTCTGTCATTGCAACAGGTGACAGTATATCAGGCCGAATGCTCAATGCTTGACCAAGTTTTATATAAGCTGGACCCAAAGATGTTACAATTTCCCGTAATTCAA